TCCTGTGATTCTTTCAGTGTGAACATCTCCTAAACTGGGCCTCGCACTGATTCCCTGGGGCATGCTGGGATCTGACTCCAATTATGGATTGGAGTTAATGAGGGGCGAGTCTTCAGAAGACTCAGCATCTCCTTGCCAGGTAAGCACCTCAAGTGAGCTCATTAACAGGACTTCAAGCAGGCAAAGACTAATCTCCTCAGGCAGGGGGGCTATTTCCACTAACAAATAGGCTCAGAGGGATGGGGGGTGCAAGTTTCTCCCATTTGCTTGTATCATCCCAACTATCCCCATTCTAATTCTCAGGATCCCATTCTTCCCAATCAATAGCCCAACTTCACTGAGAAGCCCTGGTGACGCTGTGAATTCAACTTCTGTTGTAATTATGCATCAGGTAGGATCAAGGGTGGGTCTGACCTTTAGTCTTATCAGCCCCAAGGCTACAAAAGATAAGGAATCACTTAGGACCATCACAGAAGCTCGTTCTCTGACCATGCTTGATCTGCGAGTTTAAAGCCCAGAGCTTTCAATTTTCTTTTGAAATCTCTCCAATGCAATCAGAAGAAGCCAGCCTATCCCGCAAGCCTTGTCTCTATTCCCACCATGATGGTCACTGGCGGGAGCTTTGCCTTCAATGGACACTCCATCCAGGCAGGTGATAATTTAAGTAACTGTTTTGCCAGGGCATGCTGCCAATGAGGTCATCTCTGTGGACCAGCACAGTCAGCTCAGATAACCAGCCCCAGATTCCCATATTTGTGGATCTGTTTCCTACAACCACGGACATGTTTCAACGTTCAATCAAAAAAGCAGAGAGGCTGGCCCGGTGGTGCAGCGGTTAAGTGCACGCGCTCCGCTTCGGGGTTCGCAGGTTCGGATCCTGGGCACGCACTGAAACACCGCTTGTCAAGCCATGCTGTGGTGGTGTCCCATATAAAGTAGAGGAAGATGGGCATGGATGTTAGCCCAGGGCCAATCTTCCTCAGCAAAAGAGGACGGGCATCAGATGTTAGCTCAGGGCTGATCTTTCTCACACACACACAAACACACACACACACAAAGCAGAAACTTCTTTAGATATTTCAAACAGAGAGGGATTTAATGTTAAGAATCAAATTTCAAGGGTGTTGGAAGAGATGCAGGAGCATGAGGGAGAAGGTGCTCTTAAGAAAAAGAGGAAGGAGATGCCGCGCAGATATCAGGAAGCTGGTACTGCCCTTGGCTTGGTGCCGAGGAGCCCACACTTGCCTCGGAACTGCTAGAGATGCTGCTGCTGAGCAGAAACCCAGGGTGAAGCCACTCAAACCACCACCTATGCAACGTTGCTCACCATGACGCCCCTGCAGTCCCCACCCTGCTGCCAACGCCCTCACACAGGCAGATAAACAACTTCCTCCTCCTACCCGGCTGCAGTCACTCACTAGTGTCTCCCATTGGCAGAATGGAGCCAGAGGCCAGCTAGCAGGGGCTTCTGGGAAGAGTAGTTAGTGGCTTTCTAGCACCTTGGGATACAGACACAGGAGGGAGCAAGGAAAGGTGCGACACCTCTTGAGATGTTGTGAAGAGAAAGGGAACTAATGGATAACAAAGCTAACAACAGAATGACACGATAATTCACTGTGCTTTTTCTAGGGCACGCAGGTTCCCAAGGATTATATATTCTTCAGTTCTCCCACTCTTAGGTTTGAAGCTTGTTTCTTTTTTTTAAGTGGTGAGCACTTTCCCACTTTTCTGAAGATTTTCTTCTTTGCCCCTCTCCTTACTTCTCAAAATGATTAATGACTGCAAATATCCTCTGCCAATTCCATGACCTGAGCTTCTCATCCCCCTTTCTCCTTGAATTCTTTTGGCTCTCTTCTTTTCACTCTCCAGATGCCTTCCTCTTCTTTTTCTTTCCTAATCTTAACCCATCCTGCTCTCAAACATGCTGAAGGAGAATGACAAACCTTACATAAAACAGTAACCAGCTAGAGAAACAAAACATCTAAAACCTTTAACATATAGCAACAATACAGCTTATTTCTCGTGTGGACTGAAGGACCCTACCATGTAGTTGGTTTTTGTTGGGCAGTTTCTTGCTCTTTCCTTCTGTGAATGTCAAGGCTCTCCCACTTACAGAGGAAAGGAGCCTCTTTGACTATGAGCTGAATCCTGAAGCTGAAGCAGCACCTCCTGCCCCTGCTCTGCACAGGGCACGGTGCCAATTGTCATCACCTGGCAGTTCCGGTGGGATTTTACGTTGGATCTGCTCCCTTACTTCAAAACTCGCATGGCTTTCCTTTGCTCTCAAAAGGACCGTCATACTTCTTGCCTGCCTGCCTGGCGGGCCCCACCTACCTTGCTAACCGCCTCTCCCGCGCCCTCTGCCTCACTCACTAAGCCCCAGCCACACTGGCCTTTCAGTTCCTCAAATTTGCCAGGGCATCTTCCTCCTCAGCCATCCTTCCCACAGGCTGTTCAGAATGCTCGTCTTGCCCCAGCCTCTCTGCATGGGCAGCTCCTTTCCCTTCTTCATGTCTGAGCTTAAAGATCACTTGCACACGATTGTGCTTCTTCCCAGCACTTACCATAGAAGGTATTTCTTTTTCTGTCTCCCTTGTCCTTGAAAGTAAGCTCCGTGAGAGCAAGAGCTATAGCTGTCTTGCTCACTGGCTGTACCTTTGGGCCTAGCAGTCCCTGACATGTATTTGGCGCTATTATTTGGGCCAAAACCTGAGGTCACAGTGGTGAAGATGACACTGTCCTTGCATTCTTGGCCTTTACCTCCTAGCGAGGTAGCTCACAGCAGGTCTAAGATTACTGGGTCATTATGCCTGAAGGTAGATGTGAAAAGACTTTTCTAAAACCCTAATACCACAAATGTCATTAATCTGGAGAATCTGTGACATCTGGCCTCGGGTCCCCTCCTCAGGAAGACTGAAGAGCAGTAATTTTCAGCACCCACTAATCTTGTAGAAACATGCTCTACAAGTATACATTTTATATTTTGTAATCATTACCTAAGTGATGGACAGAATTGAAATCAGAAAAGTTAAACAAGGTATATTTGAATTTTCAAAATGCTTTTCAGATGAACTTTGAAATCAAAGTTAACTTGGGGTAACAAGACCTTGCAGCAGGAACAGCGAGACCTTACACAGTAATTTAGACTTTTGCAGAGTGCTTTACAGTTTACAAAAAGCTTTCTCATTCCCATCTCCTCTGACCCTCACCACTGACCTGTGAGGAAGCAGCGCTGGACGGAGTATCACCGACAGGGTGGGGAACTTGGATCTCAATATGCCAGGCACTTGCACACCTCACAACAACCCATCATCATCTTTGCAAATAAGGAAACAGTGGTTGAGAGAGAACACTTGCTTTGCCTGAGGTCACACCTGGTGAGTGGCAGGATAGTCATCTTAATTGACCCTTCAGCTCTTTTGGATGCACTTGATTAATTTATCCTTTCAGAGGAACTTTCTGTGTTCGGCTTTATGGACACCCGGTCTCTTGATTTTCTTCTCACTCAATGACTTCTTCCCAGTCTCATTTGCTGTATTTTCCTTCTCTTCCCCATCTCGGAATGTTGGAGAATCCCAGGACGTGGTCCTTAGCGCTTTCTACTCCATCCACACTCTCCTCCTAGATATTCATCCAGGTCCATGGTTTTAACTACCGCCTAGACAGTGGTGGCTTCTAAATTCACTGCTCCAGCCCGAATTCCAGGCTGGAATATCCAATTGTCCACTCAATACTGCCACAAGGGTTTGACAGGCAATTGAAACTTGCTCCAAACCAAACCTCTGCCAAATTTGCTCGTCCAGCAGAATTCCCCATCTCAGTAAATGGCACCATTCCTTCACTCATACTCCACATCACATTAGCGAGTCCTGTTGACTCTATCTTCAAATTAGATTCCAAATCCTAGTACTTCCCACGGCCTCCACCCTGGTTTAACCTGCCATCATTTCTCAGTCCCATAACAGCTTCCTAACAGTGCTCTCCACCTGCTTACATTCTCACCCTCCTACAGTCTGTTCACACACAGCACCTTGAGCATTCCTTGTAAAACTTCAGTAGGACCACCTTACTCTTCCCACGGCCTCGCAACTCATATGGAAAGAATTCCACGGTCTGTAAGACCCTACCTGATCTGGCCTCTGGCTACTTCCTACCATTCTTTTCCTAGCTCATTTCACCTTAGCCACACTGGCATCCTACTCATCACCTGCAATCACCTTCTACCTGATCTCTCTGCTTCCACTCTTACGACCCCCGGTCTATTCACAATCAGCAGCCAGAGGGATCCTTTTAAAGACATATCCCATCATCCTTCTGATATCTTTCAACCACTTCCCATTTTTCTTAGAATAAGATCCAATAGGACCTAGCACGCCTGGTTCCACGCCTCGCTCATTCTGAGCTGCCCTGCGGGGGTCCAGCCTCCAGGCCTTTGCATTTGTTGTTCCTTCTCCCAGGAATGCGCTTTCTCAGACGTCAATACGGCTTATTGCCTCTCTTCACTGCCCCACCTTCTTCCCTACCACCTTGGTTAAAACAGTACCCCCGGTCTCTGTATCTTCTGACACTGCTTTCTTTTCCTTCGTGGTATTTATCCTATTTGCTTGCTGTTTACTTCGTCTTCCCTCTAGAATGCTGCCTTCAGGAGAGCGTTCTTTTGTTCACACTGCATTCCCAGCTCCAGCACAGCGAGGGCAGTGAATCAGCATTCCTGAAACCTTCCCTCCCCTCCTGGCAGAGCTCTCCCCTACCGTTCGCCTCCCTCAACAGCACCCGCCCTCCCCTCGGGACCTCCTGCTCCCCCGTCCCGCGCCCCGCCGTGCCAGCCGGCCGCCTTTCCATCCGCTCCGCTCGGCGCAGGGTGCCGAGGGCTCCTTCCGGCGGCCTCGGGGGCGCGGGGCATCACGGGGCTTGTAGTCCGCCCCCGAAAGGGCGGCTGCCGGCCCCCGCGGCCGCGCCTCCCCGACACTACAACTCCCACGGGGCAACGGGACGCCGCTCCCGCACCGACCGTGTCGGCCGGCCACCTCGCGGCGGGCGGTGGGCGGTGGCGTGATAGCGGGCGGTCCCGGCGGCCGCCGCGGGGGAGGGGCGCAAAGATGGCGGACGTGGTCGTGGGCAAAGACAAGTGCGGGGAGCAGCGGCTCGTGTCGCTGCCCCTGTCCCGCATCCGGGTCATCATGAAGAGCTCCCCTGAGGTGTCCAGCATCAACCAGGAGGCGCTGGTGCTCACGGCCAAGGCCACGGTGAGGCGGGCCGCGCGGGGAGCAGTGAGGAGCCACGAGAGACGGGCGGGGGTGGGGCCGCCCGCCAGGCTCGGCCGCGCCGCCGGCTCCCCCTCGGCCCGCGCACCGCCGGTTGCCCCTCGCGGTCTCACGTGCGCGCGCCCTTCCGCGCCCCGTCCTCCCTCGCGCGCCCCGAGCTCCGCCCATCCCGCGCCGTTCCCGCCCTCCCTCGCGCGCCGTCCGCCGTCCCGCGGGCTGACGCGGCTTGTTTTGGTGTCTCGTTCCCCTGCGTCACCGTATTCCCGTCCCTCAAGCCTTCGCTTTTCTCGCTTCCGGCCTGTTTGGGGGTTTGGGGGCCCCAGCTCCTCAGACGGTCCGGGGCGAGGGCCCGGGCGCCGTCCAGCGAAGCTCGAGGGCTTCCTCAGGAGGTACGGCCCGGCCGGGCCGCGCTCCCCGCGTCTGCTAGGCGGGCCGCAGTGGCATCCCGGAGACCTCCGCTTCCAGCAGGTGTACTAGCCCCCTCCGAGGTGCGGGACAGATCATTCGTCTCTTGTGGTTTGGTCTCGATAGTGGCGTGTCGGAACCCTTCCTGTTTTACACGGGGCCGTGTTTGAGCTGCCGTCTTCATTGTTTTAACTTTCCTTAGAGTCTGTTTTCCAGCCCCTCCGAGTTCAGGACACAGTGTCCCTACAGTATGTTGGACTAGAGCTAACGGAAGTGGGAAATCAGATTTCTTGCCTGCTTTATGCCAGAGCCATGCTTTCTTAGAGCCCAGGAAAATAATTGCCCGCTCAGCATTGGGATATTTGTGTTTTCCTGTACAATTTCATTCTGTAAGTATTAAGGAACTGTGGCTTATGCAGGCCCTTCTTTAATCCCTTACTGAGCAAATTAGATGGAGTTAAAGCAAAAACAGAGAGAAGGGCTCAGTCCAGGTTGTTTCTTTAGGGAAGGTATTGGTGCAAAATGGGAAATGTCCATTTTCAGCTTCAGGTTGCTGACTATTATAGTTGTAGGCAAACCACCTTGGACACAATATATTCAAATGGAAGACTAAAATTGTGTTCCTGAGCCAGATAGAATTTTCTTTTTTTTTTTTAATAATTTTTTTTATTTATTATTTTTTTCCTCCAAAGCCCCACTAGATAGTTGTATGTCATAGTTGCACATCGTTCTAGTTGCTGTATGTGGGATGCGGCCTCAACATGGCCGGAGAAGCGGTGCGTTGGTGCCCGCCTGGGATCCCAACCCGGGCTGCCAGCAGCGGAGCGCGTGCACTTAACCGCTAAGCCACGGGGCCGGCCCAGATAGAATTTTCGAATGGTCTCATGCTCCCTTTTTACTGTACAGATTGGTTATTGCACATTTATGATTCATTATTTAATTACTTTTAAATATTTTTGATAAGTTAGAAATCTAAAATAAACTTTTGGGAAATGCCTTCTCCACCAACTTTAATATGGCCTTGCTTTCCTTCTAACCTCATATTTCTCCTTTCCCCAGTGATTTCCTGTAATTTGAGAAACCAAGATAATCTGAGTCATCTAAACTTAAAGTAATTTAAAGATGAAGTTCTATGATAAGTTTTCAAAGCACACCTTTCATTTTACTTTTTGGTTTTGTTTTAGGAACTCTTTGTTCAATATCTAGCCACCTATTCCTACAGACATGGCAGTGGAAAAGAAAAGAAAGCACTCACTTACAGTGATTTATCAAATACTGCAGAGGAATCGGAAACTTTTCAGTTTCTTGCAGGTACTTAGCCTTTGAAACATTCTGGTTAAAAAATGCTTAGTAATTTGCAACTCTTTCTTTCCTGCTTTCACTGAAATTGACATTTTGCTGCTTTCTCCAGGTGCCAAAGTTTTCCACCACCTGGCACAGGAAGACCTTTTACGTTTTGTCTGAGTGTGTTTGTAATGTGGTTCACCTAGAACGATAGTGAAGTCAACAGCCTGCACCAAGGATGTTTGGCTGGCTGGGTGAGCCTGGCAGACCCACCTCCTCAGACTCCTCCTTGCCACTGAAGGGAAAACTCTGGGCTGCTTTCCTTGGCCCCAGAAACAGAAAAACTAATGCTTGTTGTTGTAATAGTTGTGGGACACAGCCAGAAAGAGCTTAAGTCTACCCTTGGGGCCAGCTGGTCTGAGGTGGTTTGGGCAGGGTTGCTCAGTCGTTATCAGCACATAGAAGCACATAGTTTGCAGTCAGTAGAATGGAAACAGGTCTTGAGCATTAGTCAGCAGACAGTGCTAGTTTCCTGCTATTTCACCCAGAAGTGTAGTCTGAATTTTGTCTTGTTTTGGAACCTATTCTAAAGCAGGAACTAGTACATTTTGAAATTTGCATTGCTGTATTCATGGTCTACCACAACCAATTGCTGATGTTAGCTTTATGTTTTTAAGATATATTACCGAAGAAGATTTTAGCTAGTAAATATCTGAAAATGCTTAAAGAGAAGAGAGAAGATGACGAGGAAGAGCATGACAACGATGACAGTGATGATGATGACGCGGAATCCTAAACCAAAAAACTGCTTTAAAAATCAGCCTGGTGAAGACCGTTATGGATTAGCACCATTGCTTTGAAGTAAGCACAACACTGTGTGACTTTAGTCTCCTCGATTTTCAGAGACTTCAAGTACATTGTATTCTTTCCTGGCTGAGATAGAGCATCTGAGGCACCTATACCGTAAATAGCCAAAAGGAAAGTAACCCAGACAACAGCCTCTCTTTGACAGGTCCCTGCTGCGGTTGGAGGGTACCAAGAAAGAGTTGTCTGTACAGTCAGGCACTGCCACTCAATCTGCTGCAGCTATAAGCAGCAGAGGCAAAGACAGTTTTGCTTAACTTTTAAATTTACAGATAGATTTTGAAGAGCTTCTAAATATCATTTGTGTAAATTCGTATATGTATATTTTGAAATCCTTATAAACAACTAGATCCAGTTTTAGCTAAATATGTAGTTTATGGGTAGTATGTTACATTTCAGTTTTTGTATTTCAAGAAAATTTGACTATTTGTCCAAATACTGCATGTTTTTAACTGTAAAGAAATAAATTTTTCTTTTTTATTAAAAGTTGTACATAATTTTACAGTAAAATGCTTTATGAAACTAGTTTTAGAACCCTCCATTGTTTTACTGCCTTGCTTATTACCTGAGACTTTTGTGATATTTAAAAATAAGGATTTCTAACACTTATTCCCAGAGAAGAATTTCAAGTCAAATTAGCCGATGCAAAAAGAAATGTTACCTCTGCATGAGCATATTTTTCTTAAAAAACGTTTTAAAACATTTTGTATGTTGAAGATCTCTCTTTTTACTGTTCTTTTCTTTACACCCATTGTGATTGTTTTTACTGTCCACAAGAGGAAACCATAAGCCCTATTTTTTTTTCACATACAAATTTTTGGCTCTTGTCTTTTCAGTCTCTTTTTTAAAAAAAATTGAATTATAATTTATATCCAGTAAAATCATCCTTTAATGTCAAGTCTGTTGGTTGTGTAAGCATTCAATATACAGAACAGTTCCAGTCACCTCAGATGTTCCCCTGTATTCTTTTGGAGTTAGTCCCTTTGCCTATCCCCAGGCAACCACTGATGTTTTCTGACCATCTTGTTTTTAGAATAAAATATTTTAAAATCCACTTTTTGGTGTACAGTTCTAAGTTTTTTTGTTTTTTGTTTTTTTGGTGAGGAAGATTGGTCCTAAGCTAACATCTGTGCCAGTCTTCTGCTATTTTGTATGTGGGTCGCTGCCACAGCATGACTTGATGAGTGGTGTATGTCTGCGCCTGGAATTCAAACCTGCAAACCTGGGCCGCCCAAGCGGAGTGCGCTGAACTTAACCACTATGCCACTGGGCAGGCCCCAGTTCTGAGTTTTGACAGATGCAGAGTCGTGTAACCAGCAGCACAATGAAGATACAACAGTTCTGTCACTTCCCCCAAATTCCCTCATGGTCAAACTCATTCCTACCTTTAACTTTGACAACCACTAAGCTATTCTTTGCCTCCATAGCAGGAGCCAGCAAACTTTTTCTGGAAAAGGTCATATAGAAAATATTTCAAGTTTTGTGGGCTATATAATCTCTCACAACTACTCAGCTCTGCCACTGTAGTATAAAGGCAGCCAGAGATAATACATAAAGGAATGAGTGTGGCTGTATTTCAATAAAACTTTATTTCTGGAACTGAAATTTGAATTTTGTATAATTTTCATGGGTCATGAAATAGTCTTGATATTTTTCAACTGTTTAAGAATGTAAAAACTATTCTTAGCTTATAGGCCATACAAAAACAGAGTAGGCCGGATTTGGCCCACGGACTGTGGTTTGCTGGCCCGTCTTTCCATAATGTCATATAAATGGAATCTTACAGTATGTAGCATTTGAGTCTGGCTTTCTTATATTTAGCATAATGCATTTGAGATTCATCCATGTTGTTGCAGGTATCAGCAATAGACTGCTGATAGCTGCAATATTGCTTTTTATTGCTGAGTAGGATTACACTGTATGAATATACTATTTATTTATCCATTCCCCAGGTAAATGGGTAATTCCCAGTTTGGGCTGGAAACAGTCTTGATAATTACAAATAAAGCCCTATAAACATTTGTGTACAGGTTTTGTGTGAACATAGGATTTCATGTCACTTGAGTGTACACTTAGGAGTGGAAGTGTCTATTTAGGTTTGTAAGAAACTGTTTTCTGAAGCCGCTGTGCCTTTTGCACTCCCACCAGCAGTGAGAGTTCCAGTTATTCTCAATCCTCTGCAAAACTTTTTTTTTTTTAATTTTAGCCATTTTAGTGGTTGTAGGTTTTAATTTGCATTTCCCTAATCACAGATGATGTTGAGCATCTTTTCATTTGCTTATTTACCATCTATATATTTTCTTTGGTGAAGTGTCCGGATCTTTTGCCCATCTTTTTATTGAGTTTTCTTTCTATTGAGTTTTGAGAGTTTTATATATTTTGAATGCAAGTGCTTTGCCAGATTATGTGATTTGCAAATAATATTTTCTCCCAGTCTGTGGCTTATCTTTTCATCCCCTTAACAGCATCTTTCAAAGAGCAGAAATTCTTTATTTTTTTAAGTTCTGTGCATGGCCTGTAGTATCTATGCCTACAGTAATGTGATGCTGTTTAACAAATCCCCAGGAAAATACTAACTGGTTTTTGTGTGTAACCAGCTGAAACATCCTTAACCCATCATAAGCACTTCAGATCCAATTATTTAGGGAGCTCTCATCCTTCTTGGTTTGTCCTTGAATCACGTGCTAGTTTATTACAGTAGCTTCCTAACTGGTTTCCTCACCATCTTTATAGCCTCTCTTCCCATCCTGCATACTGCTATCACATTATCAAAATGATTTTATGAAGATTAATCTTTTCCTGGTCAGAAGAGTTAAAAATACCTGATATTGAAGTAGCCATTGGGGCCGAGCCTCTGTGTGCCTTGTGTACATTTTCATCTAAGCCTCACAGCAATTTGCAAAGTATCCACGTTTTACAAAGAAGGGAATGGAAGCTCAGATTAAGGAATTAGTCCAAGGCACACTAGGACGTGGTGGAAATGGGATTCAAATCCGACTACACTCTCCACTGGACCATGCTGCTTAAACAAGTGCAGTTTCGGGGCTGGCCCAGTGGCATAGTGCTTAAGTAAGTTCTCGCGTTCTGTTTCAGTGGCCGGGGGTTCACAGGTTCGGATCCCAGGCACAGACTGACGCACTGCTTATCAAGCCATGCTGTGGCGGCATCCCATATAAAGTAAAGTAGAAGAAAATGGGCACAGATATTAGCCCAGGGCCAGTCTTATTCAGCAAACACAGGAGGATTGGCAACGGATGTTAGCTCAGGGCTACGCTTCCTCATAAAAAAAAAAGTGCAGTTTCTCCGCACTGTGTTGGGTAAATTCATTTGGCATTCAAGGCCCTCAACACTGATCTTAATCTATATACTGTTGTTTTCCTACAGTAACTTGCCATTCCTGCTGAAACGGGCTCCCGCATCCTCTATGGAGCATAAAGATGCACTGTACATCCTCTGATCAAGGAGCTATTTTCATCATATACTGTTTTTACTCTTAGGTTTCTCCAATCAATTTACTGCTCTGGCCATTCAGTAAATGATAATGAAATAGCGAGAATGTAACAAGGGAAGGCAGTATTTACTAAGTAAGGATACCGTAGATCTCGCATTAGTTTCTGTATATTCTTTCATTTTCAATTAGCATGTACCAGGGCTAGTGGGCACCAAGGTGCTTTGTGGTTTTGGATATTAAGAAGGAGGATCGGCCCTGTGGCTTAGCAGTTAAGTGCGGGCACTCCGAGGCTGGCGGCCCGGGTTCGGATCCTGGGCAGGCACCGATGCACTGACGCACCACTTGTCAGGCCATGCTGTGGTGGCGTCCCACATAAAGTGGAGGAAGATGGGCACGGATGTTAGCCCAGGGCCGGTCTTCCTCAGCAAAAAGAGGAGGATTGGCATGGATGTTAGCTCAGGGCTGATCTTCCTCACACACACAAAAAAAGTACAGGGTCTTGGATACATTAAGGGGGAAAAAAAAAAAACCCCCTTTCATCTTGATTTTGTTGAGGGGGTTGGGGGATAGACGAACAAAATACACCAGAATGTTAACAGTAATTACCTATCAGTGTTGTGATTACAGATAATTTAAAATTTTTATTTTTATGTTTATCTGAATTTTCACATTTTCTTTAATGAACACATTCTTAAAAATCAGAAACTGGCTTTAAATGAGAACAAAACTTTGGCTTGCTTTAGCAACAATGCACATCCTAGGCATTTTCATTTATTTATTTATTTATTTTTTCCCCCCAAAGCCCCAGTAGATAGTCGTATGTCATAGTTGCACATCCTTCTAGTTGCTGTATGTGGGACGCGGCCTCAGCATGGCCGGAGAAGCGGTGCGTTGGTGCGCGCCCGGGATCCGAACCCAGGCCGCCAGTAGCGGAGCGCTCGCACTTAACCGCTAAGCCACGGGGCCGACCCATCCTAGGCATTTTTAGCCATTTTTTGGTTTTCTTAATCTAACCCTCCTTTCCTTTCCCAACACTAAATATTTTTTCAGTACAGTTAGAAGTCAAAAACAGCCCAGAGTGAGGCCACCAGGGATTTCAGAGCTGCACCAATATGTGCAAACATAGCCAACGCAGAGGGGGTTAAGTGACCCACCAGGCTGAGAACCCCAGATGTGGTCGGCTCTGATTCCCACACAACGTGGAGTTCACGGTTTTGCACTTGATTGGGGCTTAGTTGAATGGCTTTTTACTTCATCTTTTCTCATGACTGCCAGAGTAGAAACACCCAAGTCATCCTAGACATCACATTAGTTCTTCTCCTGTCCAAGTCATTCCTGTGGTTTTCATCCTCAAACCTCAAATGCCTAGCTCTGTTGAGTACCTTGTTAAAGGAATAGGTCCAATGCTTGTAGAATAAGGCTGTGGGGCTCTATCATTGAAGGCATGCTTCTCCCCTGGAAGCCTGGAATCTTAACCTTGCAGAAAGAAGTGCCCAAATGAATGTGTAATTGAAGATCTTTGGCAGAGGCAGCTGTAAATATGAGGAATTTTATTTTATTTTTTGCTGACATACTATGAGGCAAAACAAAATTGACACCATACAAAATAACTTTATAAAATACCAGTCACGTCAGAGTTTATCCGATTTACATCATTCTGTGCATGTTAAGGGTTATGTACGGAGGTGAAAAAAACACTATGCCAAACTTTCAGTATTAGTTTATATACACACAGTAAGAAACAAAACAAGTAACTGTTAGGTTTTCCATGAATTTATTGCAAAAATAGTGCAAACTACTTAACCTAGTAAGCTGTAAAACAAACTCGAAAGGACCCAGCTAAGCTTAAACACGACAATAGATGCTCAGTGTCTCAGCCTTTAGCTTTCTTTGCCAGTTTCTTTTGTCAATCAAGACCACTCCCCGTCTGTTCAGTTGAGGGTGAGTGCTGGGGAATAGAGAAAAGTGAAGACTGGCTCTTCAGAGACCAGATCAACCTGGCTGCCTAATGCCAGCAATACCTTTAGGATCATGCTACTTACTCAATGGCAATTTTGTGAGGTCTGTTGAAAACATTAAGATGCCATGATGTTTAAATTTGACCTTAGGAATAAGTTATCTAACCTCTTGATGACATGGAGAAAAGAATTAAGAAAGCAGCATGAACAGAAAGGATTGGGAACATTATTGTCTGCTTATAAACATGGTATCCTTTTCTCATGTGTATTTGGGTAAAGCATTATTCTACTGGTGGGCAACCTGTGAACCAGATATTGCAGTAAGTTTAAAAAAAAAAAAAAAGGATACTGTATCCCTACAAGAGTAACTTTGAAATTTCTTTCAACAGTCCATTGGGGTCCAAAAAGCATATATCTAAACAAAATAATAAGAGCAAAACAAAATGCTACATATAAAAGCTAAAGAAACAAAATGCAGCATATTCAGGTTCTTTTTCTTGAGGTACCTGTATAAATTTAATCACCCGCCCAAAGTAC